TTAAAACTGTCCTTTCAGGACTGGCTGCCTTTACACCCCCAGGAGAGTCAGAAGACCAGGAGGGAAACCTCTCCCTACCCCACGTTCCTTTTACCAGAGCCTGCCACCGAGCCAGGGCTGCTGCCAAGTGGAAGCAGGTGGAGGAGGCTCCTCCCACTGACAGAGGTGAGGCCTCTGAAGGTTGGGTCAGTCCGTGGTCTCCCAGTTAGAATCCTCAGACCAGAGACTCCATCTTTCGGGAAGGTCCACCTCCCTTTCCTTGACTGGCACGCAGTCCCTCAAAGCTGGGGAATGAGGGCCAGGCAAGGAAGAAGGGCTTGGTATTCACAGCCCACTGCCTTCCTATTCAGCTGAACCAATTTTGTTTCTTAGTTAAACTCTGAGATAGGCTGAGGGTTTTCCAACTGCAAGCCATACACTCACTGGCTCATTCAGCAAATATTTATCGAGCCCTTACGATGTGCTAAGCATTCTTACGGGGTCTGAACACCCTGTGAGAATAAAGAAAGGGAGCCCTGCCCACACTGCACTTGTATTCTGGTGTATGTAGGGTGATGGGAGGGGAAACAGTAAACATATATGGTTACAAAGGGTAGAGGCATCTTGGCTTGTCATGGTGATGGCTGCTAGGGGGTGATGTAAACCAAACCTCAAACAGCTAGGTCGACAGCCTGACTGAAGGCACTCAGGAGTTACTCAGAGCCATTCCCTTGGGAAAATCGTCATCTGGAAAAAGCCACTGAAAATGTATGAGTCACAAAGAAAGAGGAAGCTGGGAAGGCAGAGGGCAAACATGGCCACTAGCCAGAGCACATGAAACAGCTCCTGAAGGGTCACAGGAGGGGAGGAGCCAAGAGGAAGCCTGCTCTGAATCCTCGCCCAGTAATGAAGTTTAGAGCATGGTTCCCAAAGGGGGTTCCACGGACTACCATCCAAAGGGATGCTCTGTGGGAAAGGGGGGGTTATGTGTTCAGGTTTGGCAATAGTACCTGCCTGGTCTATTCCTGTGGTGAAGATTCCCAAGGTATAGCAAAGGCTCTGAAGTCCTGCAGCAAAAACCCCAGTATTTCTGACTCTTATAGCTGAAATCCTAACATCTACCATCCCACGGAGCTCTGTGACCATTCTAGATATTGTCTTAGAGCAACAGATGACTTGAGAGGGGGCTTCTCAGGCCCAGAGATGACAGGACCTGGGTTAGGGCAGTAGAGACAGGTGAGAGTCAGGGCTGGTGGGGAAGGGTGGGGGCTGTAGTTCTGTGTCCTACGAACACGGCTAATGAACAGTTGTGGGTTTTACAGAGCAGGCTCTTAACAGGAAAGGCTTAGCAGAAAAGCTGGTTCAGGGCCTCTGTGTTATGTCTACCTTCGGGAGGGATGACAGGCAAACTTCGGGGCCCTGCATCCACCTGGAGGCAGCTGCCCACTCCAAAGTGATCCTTCTGGCAAACTCACAGGTGCCAAGGGAGGACAAGTGTCATAGTCCTCCTGGGAAATGGGCACTTTTGCCAGTACAGTGGAAAGTAACTTTTCAGTAGTTTCCAGTGTGATTTTTCACACTGCCCAAGAAGAGAAGGCCCTATCGCCCTGTTGGTGTGATTATTTAACAAAGATTGAGCACCTGCCATGAATGGCCTAGGCTGTGTTCTAGGGAGGGGGACACAGCAATTGATAAAATGAAGTATCTGCCCTCACAGGGCTTGCTTCTAGTGGGCAACATAGATGATACTCAAATGAATGCATACCAATGGAATATGACAGGTCTTTTTATAAGATATATAAAAAGCCAGGTTTTTAAAAAAAATAAGACAGGGCTTATAAGTACTTCAAGGATAAATAAATCATGGTAATGATTTAAAGAAAGACAAGTAGCATTTCTGAGGAAGGCCTTTTTTGAGTAAGGACCTAAAACAACTGGGACATGGGCCAGGCAGCAATCAAAGGAAGAGAGATCCAGGAGAAGAAATGGCAGGTTCAAAGGCCCTGGGGTAACAACGCGCTGGCAAGTATGAGGAGCTGTCCTTAGGCCAACCTGGACATGAGAGGGGGAGAAATGGGGTTATGGGAACAGGCCGGGAGAGGTTGTGTAGGACTCATGGAGAGGATTTTTATTTTACTGCCTGTGAGAGGGAAGTAAGAGGATCTAAATTATATTATTGACTCGTTAATCTGTGCATCATTTTACAACTGTGAGTCATGAAGACTTTCTGTTTCAACGAGGAGCTGACCTGGGATCTCTGTGTGTGGGGAAGAGGGGCAGCAGGAACAGGAGGCTGTGAGTTTAGATACATAGTGCTTGGAGAATAGTCAGAGGCAGGAGAAGAGGAACCTTGCCTGACCATCAGGTCTCCCCAAGTCGTTCCAGGTGGTCCTTGAGAATAAGGCAGGCCATGGGTGGAAAATCGTCCCTCCCTCGATGGAGGCTCAGCAGTGTGAGACACCACGAAAAAGGGGCACGGCAGAGCCTCTGGGCCTCTGTGGGACTTAAGAGTGGACCCCATGGTGGGGGGCTCAGGTGCTGCTTCCCCTCCCAGCCAGCCTCAGTTAGTGTCAGCCCCTTGCTCTTGCTGCCTCCACACCTCGGCGTGCTGTTTCTTCTCCTGAAAATGTCAGTGAGACTATTTCCCAACATGCTCAGAGAGAAGAGCCGGGAGAACAGCCTGGCCTATTAAGTAACAACCGCAGACTTTATTTATCTCCTGCTGCGGCCAGGCAGACATTAAATGTCCCCACTGTGGTAACTCTCACATGCTCCAGGACAACCTCACAGTCCCACAATTAAGATTGCCCCAGTCCGGGCATGGTGGCACATGCCTGTAATCCCAGCACTCTGGAGGCTGAGGCAGGAGGATCGCTGTGAGTTCAAGACCAGCCTGGGCTACATAGTGAGTTTCAGGTCAGTCTCAACTACATAGTGAGACCCTGTCTCAAAAAAAAACCAAAAAAAAAAACAAAACACCACACACACACACACACACACACACACACAAAACGAAGGATTGCCCCAGCCAGGAATTTGGCTCAGTGGTTCTGTCACCTGCCTCGCAAGCACAAGGGCCCAACTTTGATTCCTGATACAAAAAAAAGAAGAAAAAAAAAGTTGCCCTTTTGCTCAGAGAGTGTAAGTAATTTACCCAAGACCACAGAGCAAGTGAGACTCAAAGCCAGGTTTTCCAAGTAGCCCTTTCAAGTCTCCATGTATGTCTCTGTGGCCTTTGCTCCCCTCCTTTACGCATGTGCAGTGTGTCACAGTGGGCGGTGTTTTCACACGGTCTGCACACCACCCTCCCTGGGCTCCAGTTTCCTCCTTTAAATGGCAGCAGCCTTCGTCCGTCTCCCCTCTTAGAGAATGTACACATCCATGGCCCGTGCCCACCACTCACCGGTACTTCAGACTCCGCACAAACGTTTGAGGAATTAAAGTGGTGAGATTCTGGGGCCAGACTACTTGAGTGTAAACTGCCACTTATGTGTGACCTTGGGAAAATTACATAACTTCTTGGTGCCTGGAGTTTCTCATCTGTAATTCTTTGTAGGGTTAAATGATTTAATCCTTTGCACATGTTAAACACTACAGAAAAATTTCTTACATAAATTTTTATTCATTCTATCTTTCTCCTCCCCTTTCCTTAACATCTCTACTTTTAATAGCTAATATTTTTATAATGTTAAGTATGCCAGGCCCCCTTGGAAAGCACTTTCCAGGCCTTATCTCCAGGCTTGATCTGTCTCACACACCAGAGCATGGCCCAGGTCTTTTCAGGGTTCAGTTACGGGGTAGGGAGGACTCTAGGGTGTGACCTGGGAGGTCGTCTCCCCCAGAAGTGGGGATTAGCCGTCCTGGGTGGAAGCTGGCCTGGCTTTGGGCTCTGAATCTCTAAAACGGTTACAGATCCTCAGCTACAGAGAAAGGACCGTACAAGTGGCCAGATGCTGAGCAGGATGTTTCCACTTGTCTTCAATAAGCTTATTTATCAGGTATTTCACACATAATGTGCCATGAAACCAAGATTCAACAAGTGCACCACCTCCAAGAGATGGAAAGGCCTTGCAGAGACCCTTTTAACATGGATATAAAGACAAGCGCACAGTGTGTGCTGAGCCACCACCTTCCACACAGATGGGCTGCCAGAAGAGGCAGGAAGCAGAGGCAGGCTGCTCTTCGTGTCCTGGCGTGTATTTGTTTGAGGGTAGACATCACTTCCTAAGTCAGGAGACACTCGAAACGAACCTTCTTGGAGTGGACAGAGGGAGGGCCGTGAGAGGAGGAGCTTCTGGCAACGCTGCCTTTCTCCGACTGGTAGCTGCTTTTACAAATGTGTTCAGTTCTTGAGCAGAGCATATAAACTGGGTGTGCTTTTCAAGTGTACATTCTTGATTACTATTGTGGAAACAATGGACGTAACCCAAGAGTCCATAAAATAAGTTATATGACATTTGAATGATGGAAAGCCATGCAGCGATTACAAATAATGAGATAAGGTACAGGAGCTGATATGGGAAGATGTCAGGGTGTAATGTGAAGGGGGAAAGGGAGTTAGCAGATAGCACGATCTTACAACTGAAAAGAACAAGGAACGGTGCCAATAGCTACCTGGCCAGTTTAACCAATTCCGTGTAGTGCATCCAATACACAGTATAGTATGATTCTTATGTAAATATACAGGAAAAATACCCTGCCAAAATGTACTTCGGTTGTTAAATGGAGGTAGGGTCGATTTTCAGTTTCTCTGCTACGTAGTTCCATGCCTGTTTTCAATTTAATTTTTTATAATGAGTTTGTATTACTTTAGCAATGAGCATGAAAATTGATAAGGGCATAATTTATTTAGAAACAAACAAATAGTGACCTCCGAGTGTTGCAGAGGGGTAGCGCTGGTCAGTAAATCAAGATTAGACAGGTGTGACGCTAAGGCGTCTTTTGACCTGGAAATTCTAGGTTTGCATGGGAAGCACCTTAGCCGTTGGTGAAGTTCAGCGCAGATCTTGAATCAAACATACCTGCAAAATTTTGGAGTAACTGATCACAATGAGCAGGCCCGGCACCAGGAAGTTCAGAATAACAAAAGACACATCCCACGAGATTTCTCCGGCCACACTGGGCCAAACCAGGGTGCAAATCAGGATTTCCTAGTTAGAGAAAAGAAAAGAACCTCATTAACACTGGCTACATCTTTGGCCTACAGCTCAGCTCTAGCTGGGGGTCTCTTGGCACTGTTATGCTGTTGCATTGCACAAATGGAGCGAATCCCACCCCTGCCCTCCATAGCCCCTTACAGAGCCATTATGGGGCTCTGACCACTGGAGGAGCCAAAATGACTATTCCCATTCTCCAGGTGAGCACTGACCCTCAGAGCCACAGGCCGGAAACAGCTGGAGGCTGTTCCCAGGGGTAAGCCTTCCCATTCCCCAGGGAGAGATTAAATGAGATAAACTGGACACACGTGTTTGAATATAGTGTAGTTTCTCTTGTGTGAGAAACCAAAAGCATAAATAAAGACCGAAATGGAGGAAAATGTTCAAATGGGAGGGGGAATACGGAAGCGGGGAGGGAGAAGAGAAGGAAAGGAAAAGGAAAAAAAAGAGAATGGAAGGAAAAAATGGAAATGAAGCTTTTATAAATGGGGAGGGTAAGAAAGGTTGAGGGAGGGAGGGTAAAGCAGAAGAAAAGAAGGATCGAGATACATTATGTACAGGTACAAATTCCCTACGATGAGATGAATGTGATCATTATCTATATCAAAAAAGTACCGATGAAAGTAATTTTTTTTTAAAAAAAGAGAAAACTGACCCAAGAAATGTTGTACAGATAGGAAGTAGTTGCTGCACACAAGCACACAGCAACAGGATCAAAGTTTTAGTGCAGTCATACAGTACTTTGTATGCAACAGGGTCTGTGTTAAGGCACTCAGTGTCTATTTGGGAAGAGAAGGCATTCCACTGTCTAAAGTATGTCACAGCCAGTCATACTGACAAGCACCTGTATTCCTAGCTACCCGGGAGGCTGAGGCAGGAAGATCACCTGAGCCCAGCAGTTTTGGGCCAGCTTCAGCAATGTAGTAAAACTCCATTTCAAAAAAAGAAAGAAAATGAATGACAGCAAACACAAAACAAAATGAGTGTGTCATGCTGTGTCAAAGAACCTGGCAATCCCTCGCTCCATGATGGTCTGGTGCCTGACCTGGGGCCTTTGACCCATGTATCTCCTGCCCAGAGGAACCCAGAAGAACCCCAAAGCAAAAATCAGCCACAGCCCTCTGCTCCAGATGAAAACCACTGAAATATGGCAGAAGACCATGAAGGTTTTTAGCCTTGTAGCGGCATTAACTTGTGTTGATTTAAATGTTTCACACAGGAACTGCAATACCAGGTTGGGTCCTTCCTGGGACAGTTACCAGGAACCATTGCAACAATTTCTTCCAACAAATAAATACGTCAACAAAAACAAACATATGTATTTCTCTCTGTGTAAATGTTTTTCCTCACACACCAAACTTCCTGTGTGCTCTTGACTATAGGAACAAAGCTATTTGGAAAACAAGTTGTCCTGAACATTTCTAGATATGTAGGACAGGTTTTTAAGAGCATATGCTAGTAAACATTATTGCTGGGTACAGTGGTGCACACCTGTAATCCTAGCTACTGGGGAGGTTGAGATAGGAGAATCATAAATTTGAGGCCAGTTTAGGAAACTTAGCAAGACCTTGTTTCAAAATAAAAATTAAAAAGGGTGGGATATAGTACAGTTCTGCCTAACTCCAATCTCTAGTACCACAAAGAAAAAAGAAAAAGAAAACATTATTGATTTTTGGTGGGCGATGCAGCTAAACCAATGCCATAGTGCCTTCGTTCATTCATTCAGTTGACCAATATTATATATACCTGGCAGAAACAAAGAAATTTTAACATTTACCGACATCTATCATAATTAGTTGTTCAACTTTAAAATGCAATCAACTAGTCATTCATCTTCATAAATAGTACTAACAGGAAATAACAGTATCTAATATGCGTGAAACATTTACTATGCACTGGGGATCACTTTGCATATATTATATCATTTAATGCTTAAAATAACTTTATTGAAATGTGCATTATTATTTTTCCCATTTCACAGACGAGGAAACTAAGGCTTAAATTCCTAGAATAACAGTCCGACATAGTAAAAGTGTGGTTTTTTAATCACAATATTTTCCCCAATATTTCCCCTTTGTAGTTACAAAGGACATCAGGGACCTACCAAGAAAACTCTTCTCAAAGCAAGACAAGTAGAGAAGAATATTTGGATCACACGTGTATCGTAAAAACGGAGATGAGAATGTTGCTTTCATTTCTTGTTTGCTAAATAGCTTGCAAACAGACTAGGATTGCTTGCTTATTTACTTATTTAAGTAGAGACACTCCTTGTTTAACAGCCAAGTTAGGTTCCTGCAACTAGGTTGTTATATCAATTAGTCGCTAAATGAGGAACTGTATACATTGAGTACATGACAGCATTCAGAACAAAGTAATGGTCAAAAGAAACTCCAACTTGATGACTTTGTTTTTATTTGCATAGCTCTTAACGCAGTAGTGTAATGTATAACAGAACATACAATTTCAGTATTGTACTATACAGTACAAGCAGCAAGATGTACTGCACAGAAATAAAGACACTGAAGATCTGTAAACAAGATGTACAGAACTGTAACAACAACAACAACAAAAAAGACAGGTTGTAAGTCTGAGCAGGGGGATCATAAGTCCAAACAGCACAGATTTCAGTATTGTACTATACAGTACAAGCAGCAAGATGTACTGCACAAAAATAAAGACACTGAAGATCTGTAAACAAGATGTACAGAACTGTAACAACAACAACAAAAAAGACAGGTTGTAAGTCTGAGCAGGGGGATCATAAGTCCAAACAGCACACCTTGGTTGTAAGCCCAAACAGTGGGTCAACAGGTAGATTCTTAAACAAGGAATATCTGCATTTGGTGATTGGACTTAGGGTCTTTGCACTGAGCTGCTTCCCCATACCTTCTATTTTCTTATTTTAAGTCAGGTTCTCACTAAGTTGCTAAGTTGTCCGGGCTGAGCTTGAACTTCTGATCCTCTGTCTCAGCCTCTGAGAGCCCCGGGATTATAGAAGTATAACTAAATGTTCTAAAATTTGTTCCTCTGCCCTCGCCACCCACACCCGACCAGAGAAAGCTTATTACATTTTTCTACATTTTGGTGTTTGGAAAGGATCTTTTGAATACTGGCAGCAAGTTCACTGCTTGCTGTCAGCCTCCATGGTGGGCTGGACCTCTGCCCACCACAGATATCAGCACACTGGGGACAACAGATGAGAGCAGAGTGGCTGAAGCACCCACCAGAAGAGAGGGTTTCCAGTCTGAAATGGGGCTTAGTCTCTAAAACCTATACTAGTGATGGAAAAAACATGTGCAGGAAGAACAAAAAACAATGACCTCAAAACTATTTCTTGAAACTCCTTAAGGACCTCAGATCTTTCTAAAACCCTTCCTGGAGTATCTGTCAAGCTAAATAAGACTTTAGAGAAAAATGTGTAGTGTTAAGAGTAGAGCAAGATATGATCCCTGCACTAGAGGCCAAAAAAAAGCAGGTCTCTAAGCTATGTCTGTATGAAGGCTGATAGAATCAAAATGGAGTTGCTTATGTCAACCCCAACAAAAATATGTAAATAAATAAAACTGAGAGATTATGAAGGAGGGCATCTTCTACATATCCTCTATATGCTCGATAACAAGAATTTTCACAAAGATTCTGCCAGAACCACAACTTTGCACAAAGGCCACCACAATATTACACAAAAGTACTTTTGAGAGGACGTTGGCCCAACGACTGTCTAACCTTGACTGACGCCACATTTGTTACAACTTCTTGTAGCCGAGGATTATTATTTCAGAATAACTTAGGCAATTCTCATTTTGCCTATAAAAGCTTCCCTTTGCCTCAACTTCCATAACCACAGAGTTTAACATGGCACACATGTTCCCACTGCAAAGTCCATCCCCAAAGGACCCCAGCATGTCAAAAGTACGCGCATGTGTGAAGGAAAAGGCATACATATAGAGAAGGACTAGGTTTCACTAGAGAAAGCTAAAGATGTCTGCTTGTAAGAGGGGCTCTATTCTTTCACCTTATCTGAATTTTCTAAATTTTCAATGACGTTCCTATGTTTTTTATAAAGAAGAAGAGAGTGACAGAAGTTTGCTTTTGGGAAAATGATGGAATACATAACTGAGATCACCATGACAGCTGAACATACCTAACTAGATGTTTTCAATATAGACCTGGCATCTGTCCCAGGAAGTTTCCCAAATTCCATTCAAGAAGATGTTTTCCCCTTTTTACTTGTGGCTCCTGCTGCAGACAGGCAGTGTGATAAGGAAATAAGACAGGAACTCTGTACAGCCCCCTAACAGGAGCTAAGAGGCAGTGAGTTGGCCTGGGTGGCCCACGTGATGGCTTGATATGCTCGGTAAAGGGCATTATATGCTACTGGTGATTAAATGCAGTATCTGCACTCATTAGAAAAAAAAAGCAGGCCCTGTGACCATAGTTAGAGAGGTGAGTTCGTACTGGACTTGTATTTCCGTGGGAGAAAAGTCCGTCTGTCAAGTCATTCTCATTCTAGGTATCCTCTTGCAGGTTCTGGTTTGTCAAGAAGCTGGGCAGGATGTCAAATCCAAAAGGTAGGGGCCAGAGTGGTATTATACTCTCCGTACTTGCTCTGACATTGGAAACATTTCCTGATTTTTAAAAAGTAAATTTGAAAAACAAAACTGCTAGGCCTGCCTGGTTACTGAGATACGAACTGGCAGTGTCAGCAAGTGTTTTTTAATTCGTTGGCTTCGTCGTTGTTGACTCCGGCACAGTGGCTCCACCACTGTGAGGCCAGGGTGGATGAGCAAGGCCCTGGCCAGCTTTCCAGAAAGCCAGGATACCGCTGGAGAGGGTGGGAGAGAAGCACTAGGAGACTCTGTCAGGGAACGAGAAGCCAGATGGACCCCGAGAGCTTCAGAGGCCACAGGGCAGTCGCCTAGGAAAACTACATCCAGAGGGAAGCCCAACTTCAGCCATGGGGTGGAAGGCAGAGTTCTGGGGTTAGGAATGAAGGGATGAAGGCGGAGGAAAGGCCCAGTGAAGGGCTAAGTGTGACTTTCATCCGCTCTTCCCGATCTCTGCCTCTCCCTCGGCAGCTCATCGTTTCTGAGGCCTCCTTTTTCAGATTCTCCCATCCGCTGTTTCCTTCCTAGTGCTCTCTTGAATCACAGACTTACTCACTGTCTTGAGGACATCTCTGGAGGAGGCATGGTAAGCTCTGACTATCCCACTCTCCTGGTTCATACTCACCAAATCAGGGCACACAGCTGCTAGAAACCTGTGCACTGGCCCTCTGCCCCTCCCCACCAGAAGAAACCTGCGGTCCCTTGAATGGCTCTTCAACCCACTCACCCCTGTCACTCTCCCCTGATCCCTTCCAGCTGGCCACTTCCTCTCGGGTGAGCTCACACTTTCCAAAGGGGAGCCTCCTCAAGCCCAAGCCCAACCCGTGTCCCCCTGCAGGGCTCAGAGTGTCAGTCGTTGCTCCCTTGCTTCGGCATACACTCTTCGCACTTCACAAGCCCAACCCGTGTCCCCCTGCAGGGCTCAGAGTGTCAGTCGTTGCTCCCTTGCTTCGGCATGGCCTTGCTCCCCAGCCTGTAATGCCCTTCCATTCCTCCATGGCCTTGTCTTGCTTCCTTCCTCTTATCTCTATGCCTAGTGAAGGCACATTATGTTCTAGTAGCCTTTCTGGATTCCCAACACCTAGAAGAGTCCCTTCCACAGCTCTCTGAGCATGTGTAATCACCAGTCTTCAATAAGGAGCCTGCCTTTTCTCAGCACTCTACCAAGGGCAGAAGAGAATCCTGTCTTATTCAAGGCAACAGCACAATGCCTAGAATTATGCCTGGCACACATTAGGTGCTCAGTACAAAACCACCCAATGAAGGAATTTCCTGAGAATCAGGAAATCCATTAACAGGCACTGCCCAAGTGCTGACCCATCCCACACTGGCAGAACCATTTGCACATGCTGCCTGGTTCCTGTTATTTTCCTAGAAGCTTCTTTAATGATTCTTCCTGCAGTGCACCAGTGAACTCTGGTAAACCATCTTCCTTGCCCTACCCCTTCAAACAAAACAGAAGACTGAAAGGTCATTTTAAGGAATGAGGAATCCTCCCTAGAGATCTATTCTACTATTGACTTTTGGACAGAAAAGAGAAAATATCAACTCAAGAGATGGACTTTGTTATATTTTAAAAGCATTCTCTAACATTTATTAACAAAGGCAAGCAAACTGCTTGTGTCCTCAGAAAATTCACACTCAGTAAAGACACAATCACGACAGGGGCCTCATATGAAGTCAAGAAAAGGTGGAGCTGAGGAAGTGTGAATTCATGGAGACCAGAGGAGCCAGAGTTGGGGCACATTCTGGAACTATCCTTTGCCTGCTGTGACTTTGAGCATTTCCTCTTTCAGAAAACAAACATAAGAACACCTACTTGCGGAATTACTGTGGACTATAAAATTAGGCCAGGGTCTGGGACCATCTGCGTGCTTAGGAGGTATGTTTGTGTGGCTTATGGCAGGACTGAGAGGGATGGGTGTTCAGTAAACGTATGTAGCATTAATGGGCAGTACACACTGGCCATGGTGGATGATCTTTCACACCCACCAGTGTGGGTCACCACCTAGCCAGGGCCCCCAGCACATACAGGCAGGCATCTGGTTGGAACAGCTGAGCTGACTTGGCCAAGATGTCCGTGTGGCTAAGATGTGCCCATCCTCTTAAAATGGGAGCCTATCGTTTTATAGCAATCAGAAGAATTGCATTGTTTGAAAAATGTTTAAACTGTTTATAAGATAAGGAAAACTAACAATAGCTAGCAACTCTCAAGCACTTACCTGTGTGCCAGGTTTCTTGAACGTGAATCCCCATGGCGATGCTACACAGTTGGTACTGTTCTCGGGCCCATTTTGCAGAGAAGGAAAGTGAGGTGTAGAGAGGTGGGACAGCTTGTCCTCTATCACACAATTCTTCATTGGTCAGAGACAGGCTCGGAACACTGGATTCCAGTCCATAATACCGAAAGGTCAAACATCTAGCATAGCTACCATGGCATCCTCCCTTCACAGAGAAGTTCAGAGTTTGGGCACCGTGGAAGGGTAGGCTTATTCAGCCCAAGTGGACAAGGGTTGTTACGTTCCTGTTTCAGGGCTGACTCAGATGAGCAGAACGCTCTAAGGAGCCCTGTTTTCTTTGCCAGTACTCCTTGAGGGGAAGGTACCCCTATGTTTGGGGTTAGTTGGGCCCTCAACATATGATTCAGAAAGAAAAATATCCCCCATCCAAAACCTCCACCTGTAATGTCCAACTGCGAAAGAACAGGCAGGATCTATGAGGGCTGAGAAAACAGGCTTTTGTTGATTTTAAATGTGAGACTCAGCTCAGGCCTAGCCAGATCCTTCTCTATCCTTTTTTACTACCTGGTCCACACCCACTTTCATTTGTTTCAACGTATTTATTCAGCTGCCGAGCCTAAAAAGAAGGATGTTTCCTACACACTCAGACAACCCTTGAGGACTAAGGAGCTTCTCTGTTTGCTGGCTTAGCAGGAATAGAGAAAATACAATAATCTCCCTCACCCTTATTTTCAGGCATTGTCAAGTCCCTTGGTAGATCTTTGAAACCACAGATAGCACTGAATCCTATGATTGAACATTATGATGAATGTTTAAATTTTTAAAATGTTACAGCAAAAGCCACACTGCCATGAATGCCCCTCAAAATGCTCCCACTCACCCTGAACACACTCATTCCATCGTTCTTGCCACTTTCTGAAGCAGCTCTGGAGTCCTCCTTTGTGATATCCTGAATTGTGTTGATGTAGCTGCCTCGAGGTCCTAAATCCATTCAAAACATTTGCCTTTCACAGACATTTTGACTCTCGGGAAGAGCCAGAACTCACATGGTGCCTGAACCAGTGAATAAGCTGGTTGAGGACACACTAATGGTTTTCCAAATCTGCTTTTCCCTTAGGTGGCACTCATCAGCAACATTCAAGGTATTTTTTGAAGACACTTAAGGAGGAACAATGGCAAGATATAAATGTAAAGAGGGATTAATGGCAGTGTGCGTCATTATTGTAACAAATGATTTTAAAATATTCACTGTACATTTTGATCTCTTAACCAAGCAGGGTACGTGAATGATGATGTATTAATAATAAAACAGAACAATTATAACAATATACTATAATAAAACTAAAACAGGAATTTTTTTATTTCTGGAATTTTCCATTTAATATTATCAGACTTTTGTTGGGCTGGGGATTTAGCTCAGCAGTTCGGTGGCCTGCCTTGCAAGCACGAGGACCCGAGTTCGACCCCTGGTGCCAAAAAAAAAAAAAGACTTTTGTTGTCCACCAGTAACCAAAACTGGTGATAAGTCAAACTATAGAAAGCATGACTTTGGAAAAGGGAACACTGTACACTGTAACTCAAACAGAGACTAACAAGTTGAAAGAGAGAGACAGAGAGAGACAGAGAGAGAGAGAGAGAGAGAAAGTGGGATGGCAGACAGGTTGGAGAGAAGTCAAAGAAGAGGAAGAGCAGGAGCGAGGGTCCCATTTTTTTTTCATTACAAGATCCCCCCATCCCACCTTTACTGATTTCAATCAACAGGGCTCTTGCAGGTAACTAACCTGGTCCCAACCTTCTGTAGCCTAGTTCCAGCCATTTGCTCCCAGTGGCTTTGCCCAAATCCCTCACCATAGGAGGTGTTTCTTCATTGAAACAAAAGGGATCTGAGTGCCCCCCAGCAGCACACCAACTACTAGGGGCAGAATACAGGGCAGTGAAGACACGGAAGGTTCCACTTTATGCAAAGGCTTTCTTGCTCAATCACCAGGGTCCATATTAATGCACAGTTAGTCTGGGGTTTTGTTATTTGCTAGTTAAAGAGGAGTACATCCAAAACTAAAAGAAAGGGTACAAAATACATGGATATTTAATTGTTTAATTATTAATTATATTAATTGTTTAATTCTTCTCCCTCATTTTTTCTTTAAGACAAGAATGAGAAATCTGTCAAGTTCTGTGAAAAATGTAGCAATATAGTAACAGCGAGAGAATGACTAAAAGCAAACACTGATGGCAGAATCTTAGTCCATCCTAATGGTGTGAGGTAAGGCCTGGACTTCTACTTATTCTAGAAACATCTACAAGCCTCTTGAATAGGGCCCACTTAGACATTCAGGTGTATCTGGATTAAGGACAGTCTGCTGGGTGAGTATTAGGTCCCTGAAGGTCACCACTGCCCTCTAGCTCAGCTAATTCTGGCTCTCCTGGCCCCTCTGAGGTGGCAGGGCCATAGGTTGGCACATTTTTTGATCAACTGCCACAGGCCTGATACAGTTTCTCCTTAGTCATTCAAAGCCACAACCAAACAAGCACCTCCAAAATGTACTCCACACAAGAAATAAACAATTAGAAACAGACTTTTGGGTTTGATTTATGTTTGGTTAAAAAAGGAAACTGCTTGTAAAGGATGCAGCCTCCATCCATCCTATCCCCAAATAGAAGGCCTGTGTGTGATGGGTCCAGGGAAATCCTCAGTGAAGCCCTAATCTGTGTGCAGTTCTGGAGGTCCACACATTCAGAGCGTCCCTCGTCTGACTGTGTGGTCTCTACCTCGAGCCTTCCCAGGTGACATCTCTGCAGAGCTCCTTGGTCATCAGCCTCTCCTTGGGACTGCAGTTTTTGTTTCATCTGGCCTGCTCTGGGTGACCCACCCACCCCGCTTCCTAGGGCCTGGGATGAGAGTTCCTGACCCAGACCAGAAAAAAACAATAACCCAGGCGGGAAAAGGGACAGAGATGAGAATCGAGGCTCTGATGAAGGCTGAGCCAGGAGCCAGAACTTGCAGCACGCTATTGCTATCCTGCTCACAGACCTTATCCGTCCCTCTCTGCTAGGGGCAAGGTGCACGAATGAAAGGAAACACACTGGGTAGACAGTGAAGTCTGCTAGCCCCTGTCCTCCACAGCGCCTGTCGGGTAGATCTCCAGGAGGTAACAAACTCTGCAGCTACGGGGCGGAGGCAACGTGAACAGACCTTCACCAGGAATCCCGGACTGGACAGTGGAACTTCAAGTGACCGGAACCAGTGATGCACTGTGGAACAAATGTTTCTTAGAACTTGGACCCGTATGTAGTCCCGGCCACGGCTGTGGGCCCACTGCCCAGAACAAAGGCTTCAGCTCAGCCTCTGGAACTACATAACAGTTCAGGGGTCTGGGATACCAAAAAAAATCCCTTGTCCGAGGCTCCCTGGGTAATATCCCACAATCTAGTGTAATCTTCCCTTGCAGTCTTGCAGTTAGAAAAACTGAGGATCCCGGAAAGGAGAGGAAGTCCCTAGTCTGTTAAAGGAAGCACTGGATTTGGGACTCCTGAGTCTCTCTTAGCCCTTCTCCAGGCCTTCAGGCTTTCGAAGAGCCATCCAACCCTTCCCCAATCCAACCACTCCTGGATCTAAGGATGAGCTTCTCTGGACCAGTTACTATTCTGTGTGCCTCACTGCCTCATCTGTAAAGCAGATGTCATAATTACAGCAGAGTAACACGGGCAAGAAGGCAGAATTCAATACGATGCCAGTAGCCATCTCGCACCCCCGCAGAAGATCTGTCTGGCTCCTAAACTCCCCATCATCAAGCGCATAATCGTCACTGCATTCTGCAAGAATTTGGGGGACTCTACTTACAGCACTTAGGAGAAAGTTTAGGTACCTACACCACTGCGTTGGCATTGAGATTTAAGAAATGAAACCTCACAGCTCCTGGGCACAGAGTCCGACACAAAGGTTAATTGCAGCAAAAGGCTTCTTGCTGCTGTGAAGCGTTATCATCCCCTCGCTGCTTCCATCAGAATGTGCCCGGCACGCACACAGCGGGCGCTCACCTGGTCGGCGCAGGGGAACCGCAGCGGGACGACGTGGAAGAAGACGCATAGGGGCAGCGCGGTGACAGCCGAGTAGCCCCAGATGAAAATCAGCAGCGCCGCCTGAGCCCGCGGCCCCGGACCGCGCACGCCGCGCTGCAGGCGCACGATGCACACCATGCGCTCCAGGCTGACCGCGGCCAGAGTGAGGATGGTGACGCTGCCGCTCAGGGTCATCATGTAGAAGAGCAGGTGACAGGCGACGCGGCCCAGCATCCAGGCTTCTGTCCAGCGCACGACTAGCACCAGGGGGATGGCACTGGTGAAGAGCAGGTCCGAGCAGAAGAGGTTGAGCACCAGGCTAGAAGTGGCGCCGCGACGCCGTCGGCGCACCACCAGCACCAGGGAGCACACATTGCACAGCAGCGACACCGCAAAGATGAGCGCCAGCGCGGTGGTCTCCACGGTGCTCAGCAGCAGCCGGTGGTCGCTCTTGATGTCGGAGAAGAAGGGAAAGCGCGTGCGGTTGTCCTGCTCATGGCCGCGCAGGGAGCTGGTGCTCCCCGTCTGCGCGCACTCGGGGGACATGCCGGGCGCAGGGCCGCCAGCACCGGTCTGCGAGCGCGCTCATCGGGAGGTGACGGAGGGCCGAGGCGGGGAAAGAGGAGGGAGGTGGTTGCGACATCTCCCCTCTGGCCCTCCTCCCGCCAGAGGAGCGCCCGCGCTGGGCGTAGGGAGTTGCGTCTGGAGCGCGGGGGACTGAGCCAGTGCCGGGCAACGCGGGGGGCAAACACCTTGACTGGGCTGGGAGGCGGCGGAAGCCTCCGGCAATTGGACGGTCTGAGAGCTCCCATGGGGCACAGTGCCCCACACAACCTCCCGAACGACCCCCGCGGAGACTCCACAGCCTTCTCTGTCCTCCGGGGACTCCAGGTGTGTGAGGCCCCTTTATCCATTAATTTAGTCAAAATTGATTTAAGATTTAAAATTGTTCTGGCCTTTGTCATTCAGACTTCACGAAGAAAGAGCCACAGGTTGGGGGTGAATCCCAGAGTAACTCCTAATGGCCCGCATTTATTGGAGGGAGGGGGCATAGTTACTTAGAAACGTGAAACTTTGGGTGGATTAATCTCTCCGTGCTCCAAGACTTTTGTCTATAAAACAGAAATAATAATTCTACGTCACTGCTTATAAGATCACAAAGTGTTTAGTACACCACTCAGCACGCAGCAATTATTCATTAAATGTCACCAAGCATCGGCTACTATAGTTAAAATGCATGTCAATTTTGCATTATGAACAACGGTATAAAGTGACTTGTGCAAGGGATGGCCCTCCCAAATTTTTGATAGATTAGACAGCCCAGAAAGAGACAGGCCCAGGCTGTCAAGGTGGCCCCTGGTGAGTAACACAAGCCTCGTCACCTGCTCCTGCCCCACTTGCTTCTGCCACAGCACTGCTGTCTGGTTCTGTTCTAGGAAGTGTGGTAGGGAGAGACCCCGTGAGCATGACCCCTCCCGATACCCTCCCGTGGCCCACGCCCTCACCTCTCTCCCCTGCGCAGTACTCTCCCTTGCTCTTTCTGTCTCCCCATTGCCTCTGAGTATTTCTGAGGGGTTGGGTGAGCCCATCTGGGGTGCTGGCGGTGTGTGTGTGCGCGCGTGTGTGTGTGATGCATTAGTGTGCATGCTTAGCACTGTGTCACGTGGTCTGAACTGACAATGTGACTGCTAAGCTAAGGGGCAGATTGTACTCTAGTGGAGAGATGCTCCGTTTAAACCTTGACTAGGCTCAGAGTTGGCTTCCTAACAACCAGGAAACTGTTGGTCTCCTAACAAGGGGTGAAAGACTAAAGTAAAGACAAACAGGATTTTTGGCAACTGTCAGACTGAGGGGAAGAAATTTTTTCTTCATTTTTTCGTTTTGTTTTTGTTTTTGAAAAGTAGAGCTGTAGGAGGAGAGAGAGGGAGCAGGGAGGAAGGAGGAAAAGAAAGCAAGAGGCAGGAGGAAGCGAGAGGGACAGAGAGGAAGTCCTTCTACTATCACAAGCTGAGGTGACAGCAACAGAAACAGCTGGGGTAGAGTGACTGGACCAGAGGCCTTCTCTGTCCTTACCTCCCACCGTTCTACCAGTGGCAACATAATGTGTGCAGAGACTCCTACACTTCCTGCATTCACATCACTTTTTTGATGCCCCTAGGCCAAATGAATTACAGGACAGTCTCACATTTTAAGTGGCTGGATCCAAATAACGTAATAAGACGTATGACACCTAAGTAGTCATCTTGGAAAATGATATATACAAATCGGAGGACATTTGTTGATTTCTTTTTAAACAGCTGCAGTGATCCTGTATAGCCTTTCAAAACTGGGAGTCAGATTGGGAGCCACCATGCTCATTTCCTGCTCCATCATGGTTTTGTGTACTATCTATTGGTTATCACGATTACACTCATGAGTCTAATGTTGAAACTGTAGATTGCCTAGAGCTAGTAGTCTGTGAGGAATCCAATAGATATTGACCAGAACTGTCTCCTTTGGGCACCTGAGTACACACAGTCATGGCAGTTAAGAGCACAGGTTTAGCTGGGATCAAAATCCTGGCTGTCCGATTCACTTTGTTATCTTGGGGTTCTTAATATCTCTGTCTTCCCAATATGAAAAACAGATGAAAACAGTACTACCTTATAGTGTTCAAGGGATTAAGTGAAGTTCTCACACACAGAGCACTTAGCCCAATAGTCATTGAGTAGCACTTGGACACTGTGAGTCCAGCTATGAGCTCAACATTGTATATACACTGATGACACATCCTACTTTGGTCATTAGTTATTATTACCACACATCTTTACCTCTTTCACTCTTAGAGACAAGGATTCACCAAGTGTAAATACGGACCGCCTGATTTTTGATCTGAAGGGAAGTGCAGCATCGTGGGATGGCTTCTGTTCCTCTTTATTTGATATTTTAACCAAACTGGGGCAAGGAGTATCTAGGAGAGTCGTTTTCTGTGTATGATTTTCTTCTGGAAATGTTTTATATAAAGTTTCTAAGAAATGCTTCCTAGCTCACTGCTTCCTTTCCAAATGTTTCTGTGAGAGATCTATGTTTCTCCCTCCCCGCCTCTCCCCCCACCCTTGCAAAATTAGGACCAATTACAGAGTGGAATACAAAGGTTGTTTGTCCATAAGTAAAGATTTTAAACCTATGTGCTCCCCTCCTCCACCTTCTCACCGAGGTGGGACCCAAGGCCTCCAGGCCCTATTGCCCTGAGGGTTCACAGCTGAGTAGAAACTCTGAGCAGCCCACAGTGCCTGGAAGGGGGCCTTACACTCTGAAGAAGGTTCTTCATGCCCCTGAGACTTGTTGTAGGCAAGGTTCTGAGGGATTGTTATGCTCTGAATCTAAGGTGTTCCCCCCTGCCACGTGTTTAGAAGGCAAATAGATCGTGGACATGTGACCTGGAAGGGTCTGTCTCCCTCCCTGGCTCCTTTCTTTGCTCTCTGGTTCCTGGCTGTCAGGATGCGAGCAGCTTTCCCCTTTCAGACCTTCCGCCATGCCCTTCTACCTTAGAACCAGACAGGCACATACTGAATCCTGTAAAGACGTGAGCCAAAATAAATCTCTCATCCTTTAAGTTGTGGGTGTGCGGTGTTTTGTCCCAGCAATGAGAAAGCGACTTAGTGGCATTTCAGGCCAAGGGAAGAGCAATAGCAGAAGCAAGGAGACTCAGGCAAGCGCAACACTTCTTGGAAAGGGTGTGTGTCTTGTGTGCCTCAGCCTCTGTAGTGCCCATATCATACCTAACAGCCGAAGAGAGAAGTCCAGGTAGAAATGAAAATGAAAAAGCTGAGCCTTAGTGATGCGAGTGATCAGCTGCCTGTTTGTGAATTATTCACACACAAGGGGCCCAGGGCAGGGATCACACAATGTTTACTTTAAATAAGATCTGATGACTGAGCCACAGCTAGCACAGGCAATGCTCTCTAGCAATTAGAAAAAGTATCCACTCTGAGCAGACCAGCGGCGACCATGCACTCCTTCCTTGGGGCTGGTAGAGCCAAAGCTATGGGCAGGGCATGCGGTGTCTACAGGGATTTAGGACCCTGTGCCCGGCCCTCAGGCCTCTGGTGTCCTTTGCAGAGTGAAACCCATACACAGTGGTGCCAGATGGCTCTGCCTTCTACTTTGTGGGCTAACAGGTAGCAATTGCTCTTCTTGCCACCTCTTCTTGCCTCTTGGTGGTGGTTTCTGCCAAGATCTCAAGTCTCATACCCTGTCCTAACAGGAGCGCCAGTGGGACAAAGACTCCTGTGTGTGTCCCACAGAACAACCTCATTTGCCTGGGAATTTCCTCAAGCTCATTGTTGTGAGTCTTTTTGACTGAGGAGATGAAGAAAGGAGATCAAGGGCCAACCACATAGCAAACGTGAAGACAGAAACTACACACTGGACAGCCAGCTGTAACCACTGCCACTGGAGTCCTAATGGGGCTGAGCTGTTCTGTTCAGACACGAAAAGGGTCAGGGGTAATCAGAAGGGGCCCCTGCCACCCAAAGGAGGTGTTAGAAGTCAGTAAGTCAAGAAGGGGTCAATTTCCAGGTCTCAGGTGTCTCTGGGGGAGAAGGAAGAGTGAGGAGTAGGGTGCCTAGCAGGGTGAGGAGGGAAAATAAAAACAGCCACAGTGGTAATTAATAACAATCAATCAGTAGTATTAATAACAATCAGGCATCTACTGGTAATGACTATGTTCCAGGCACTATTTTAAGTATTTACTTGAGTTAACTGATTCAATCTTTAGTAAAATCCTAAAAGGTAGTGTTGTTATATCGTATGGGTGCTAATTTTTTTGATATGCTGCCACTCAAAAGTTGGAGCTTAATTTGAAAAAAGAGAATGGCTGAAACTTGAAATTATTTATGTATTTCATGAACTGGCAGTATGTATATGTATGTCCATGAATATAATTGATTATTAATTATCAATAAATTAAGAGAACTCACTTTTAAGTGAGGCCGATGAAATAAAAATTCTGTCTTTGGAAAAAAACAGCGGGCCCTTTCTTTTACTCTCTTGGCCAGTGAAGGGACTTACTGGGTTTCTGCTTATGAAGAGAACGCATCCCAAGTAATGTCATGTGATTTCACAGGCTAGGCCATAAGAAGGATGTAGCTTCTGTCTGATTTTTTTCTTTTCTGCTATCACAGGCTTGAAGTAAAAGGAAGCAAAGTAAAAGAAGACTGCCGTGTTGTGAGAACAGTGAAGCAGCCGACTGGGGAGAAACTGAGGCTTCCTGTTAGCAGCACCAACATTCCAGGCACATGTGTGAACTTTCCTGGGAACTGATCTGCCAGTTCAGTGAAACTCTCAGATGACTGCAGCCAACATCCACCTGAACCTCACAGGAAAACTCACTGTCCGGCTAACTCCTGAACACTTGGCCCCCCAAAATTGAGATAATAAATGCATATTGTTGGATTAAGTCACTAAGATCGGGGCAATTTGTTTCATGGCAGTAGGTAACTAAAGCAAGTTGAAACTTTATCCTCACTTCACAGATGTAGAAATGAAGGTGCAGAGGAGTTATGAAATTTCTCTAAGGGTCTTGCTAAGTGTGACTCAAAAGCAAGCAGCCTGGCTCCATGGTCATGTTCTTAACCACTAGGGAACCTGTCAAGACTCAGAATCATAAGACAACTGTTCTGGTGAGGAAGTGTGCTCAGAGATCAGTGCAGTGGTTCCTGCAGCTTGACTGCCTTTGAATACTGCCTGCCTTATCACCCGCACTTCCTGTCTAACTAGAACCTTTCCACGGCATTCATTTCCCCCTTGAATGGACCTGGATTAATTAGTTCCTATTGCTTGTCACCAACAAGTCTGATTGACAGAAGAAGTCTTAACACCCTCCTCCCCTCATGTTTTAAAGACAGTCTTTATTTTAGTGACAGCTTGCCCCATGCAGGAGCTCTTTCTTTCTCTGTTATTTTCCTGATTGCCTTCTTCTACTCTGCCAAGGAAAGGTGTAATCAAACACTCCAAATACAAGCTTTTGAATTCAGAAAGTGAGTTGGGGATGATCTGGCTCCACTTCATGGCAATTTTCCTCTGTGGACCCCTCTTGGCCATGATCCACACCAGCTGGCCTAGTAAGGACTGTGGTTTGTTCGACATATGCCACTGGAGCACTTACTATGCACTGCCAGGCACCAGATCCAACCCTAAAAACGGGAAGGTTTTGAAAGGTAAGTGATGTCAATGCAAGCCCAAAAGAGCCTCTACAGCCAAGACAGGCTTCACTGAAATTCTGCATGTCCCAAGGAGACTGTCAGCCGAGGTCTTATGCAGTCTCACGCAATTCTACTTGCATTACGGTTTTCTTTTCTTGGCTTCTTTATTCATTCTGTTTCTGATTACAAAATGTAAGAAGTAACTCAGAAAAAAAATAAGTTTATCTGTCATTCTATCATACAGAGATAACCCTGTGGGATTTTGCTGTATAACTTTCCAGTTTTTTCTTTTTTCTTTTTTGGTGCATGGAGGTCTGCCTACATGCATATGAGTAATTTTTTTTTTTTGAGACAGGGTCTCACTATGTAGTTGAGACTGACCTGGAACTCACTATGTAGCCCAGGCTGGTCTTGAACTCACAGCAATCCGCCTGCTTCAGCCTCCCGAGTGCTGGGATTACAGGTGTGCACCACCACACCTGGATGCATAGGAATAATTTTACAAAACAGGGGTTGGGGTGCACACTGTTTTTAATGTGCTGCTATGTGACCCTAAAAAGTTCATGTGCTGTATTAACTTTTGGTCCATTTCCCCAAATTTGTATGTTGATGGCATTTTGAAGTAGGGTCTTTGGGAGGTGACTAGGATTTAACGAGATTCTGAAAGTTGGCTCCTATAATGGCTGTGGTGGATTTATAAAGGGAAGACCCAAGTTAGATTTGTGTTCTGTCTCATCGAGTGATGAGACAGCAAGGTGGCCCTGATCAGAGGTCAGCATCCATAACTGTGAGCTAAATAAACTGTATGAGTTACCTGGTATCAGATGTTTTGTTATAGCAACAGAAAATGAACTAAGATGCATACAATTGAAAAGCTTTTTCCATACAGAATATTATTCTTCTATTGTATCCTGCAGTTCCCGCTATGCACATAACTGCCCGTGACATATTTAACCCATCTCTTATGGCCATGGCTTGGCTGCAAGGTAGAAGGTCACAGTTTCATGCCATACCAACCTTCCAGTGGTAGCTCCCAGAGGCCAGTTTATGCTTAATACACTTTTCTCTGGTCTAAAATAAAATAAGAAAAAATACACATCATGTGTTTTTCCCTAAGGCTAACCAAATCCACTTTCAATTGAAAGATTATGTCCTGACTTAAAAAAAAAAAAACAACTTTCTCTTTCAGGATAGTGTTTGTGACAGTCATTAAGGGAAAAGGAAAGCAGGAAGGATGGAGGAAGAAAGGAAGAATGGAAAGGAAGGTAAAGAAAGGGAGAGTAGGTGAAGGGAAGGGATGGGAAAAGAAAGCAGGGAGAGTATTCTGGTGCATAGCTGTAATTTAAGCATTCTAGGAGAGTGAGGCAGAAATATCACAAGTTTGAGTCCAGCCTATGCTATTTAGCAACTTAGGCCCTGTCTCAGAAATGATAATTTAAAAAGGACTGGGGATGTAGCTTAGTGTGGTGGCCTTCAGTTCGATCTCCAGTAACACACACACACACACACACACACACACACTCACAGAGTACTCTACATAAAAAAATTAACACATCCATATGAGTCACTGAGATTTATAACAGAAAAAATAACCCTGTCCCAATGATGAATGTTACTGTACTGTATACCTAAAATGTACCAATAGATTCAATGAGAAAAAAAAGAGAGAAAAAATAACCCTGACCTGTGTGTTCTTGAAGGTCAGGGACAATGGCTCAGGCCTCTGGGAGAGGTTAGTCAAGGCACACCTGCCCCACACATGGCAGTAATAAGGGCACACATATCTACAGGAAAAGACTTCAGAAGTTTAAAATCCTTTCACATTTATGCCCTACTTCTGAGGACAGCTCTGCACTGCAGGTAGGACAGGCCCCCATTTTACAGGTGGAGCACAGAAGAGCTCAGCGTGACTGGTGGTAATGGCACAACTCACATGGCTTTCCAGGCCCAAAGCAAATAGACCCAGGTTTCTAACTTTCAACCCCATGACCTTGGAGTAGCTTTTCTCTGAGCTCAGATTTGTGGACATGCTGGGTCCACACAGGGTATAGATGTACAGCTGCGAACTGAACCTGATAGATCATTTTGGAATTTCCCTCCAGGAGTCACAAAGCTCTAACCCACTTAAGTGGACAGAAACCCAGGCCTGAGGGTCTCTGCCTGTCACTGCCTGTGGAGGTACAGCTAAAGGGAGTATCCTCAATCACAGCTAGCAATGAACATTTACAGAAAATGCCAGATCACTTGTATAGTGGTCTCTTTAGTGTGATTCCTGGTTCTGGAGCTGCCTGGCCGCACTGCCTTAAGCAAATGATGTCATTTCACTAGACTTCTGTTTTGTCTTCTGTAAAATGGGAACAATACCTCCTTCACAGGCAGCGTAAAGATAATGTAAGATGAATATCAAGAAGGGCTTAACATCAGAAGGGCTTTAGAAATGTAAGGTTGTGGTTTTTCTTTTTCTTTAGCATCTGACACACAGCACGTGCTTTAAATTTTTTTCTTTAAAATATTTTTAACAGTTGAATATTGAATAGATGCAAAGGAAAATTGGGAGTTTGTCTGGGCTTTCCATAGGTCTTTCTCTCCGCCATCTTCAGTATGTTCCTCAGGAATTATGAGTGGAGACGTACAGGAACAAGGAGGAGATGGGAGCCACCATCATACCCTGGCTCTCCCTACCTCACCCCTACTCCTCTAAGAAAAGGCATTGAAAATTAAAGAGCAGGAATAGTACACAGGAGAAGCAAATTTGAGGAAAAGGATAATTTATTTTAGGATATATTCCAAGCATGGGGTCCTTCCTGTCCTAGGAAGTATGAGTCCAAAAGATAGGGGACCCAAATGGAGGAGACAATGTCAGGGGGAAGGGAAGGCCACCAAGGACCCTACCACCCAGGCTGGGATCTTGCTAAAGTGCTCCAAACATACCCAGGGATTCAGCCTGGCTGTTTTCTCTGAGTCGTGTGTGGGCAACAGCCAGGGGCTGCTGGGCAGCCTTTTAGGAAGGCTCCAGGGGCTACTGAAAACTGCTGGAGGTTTTGCAGTATGGGGCCACCACGAGTCTAGGAATATGGAGTACTGTGAGGTCAGGAGCTATGTTCCCTGAGCACAGTGCTTGCCCTCTGTGGCCTCAACTCCCTCCCTCACAAATGAATAGTTGGAACAAAATGGGCCCTAGAAGCCCTGCCAGCCAGAATCTGGTGAAGTGTAGAGAGGCCTTGAAACTCCGTCTATACTGCCCCCTGGTGGCACTCAATTAGAGTGACCACAGTCTCTCAAACCTCGAGTATCCTTCCACCTGCTCATCTATCCAACCTGCCAGTCTTCTGTCCATCTCTTTCCTTCTGTCTACTAAAAATCACTGCTAGGCACCCTGCAAGTTGTTGAGAACACTATATCAAATGAAGTCATGTTTCTTCACTAGAAGAAAACTCACAAAACAGATAAATATGAGACTAGCCCGCTAATATTCCAAAATGGTTCTAGATGAAATGTCACGGGAGGTGGTCAGGGACAGTAGCTGAGTCTCCTGGCTGACTCAAAGCAGACTGCATAGAGGACCCAGTAGTCCAACATACAAGCACGTAAGGAGACTGGAGAAAACAGATCTCCTTGGGCCAGGGCAGGTGCAAACACAAGCGACGCTTCCCGGGCACGAAAACCAGTGGAGAGAAAGTATGGAGCCGAGAAAGCTGAAGACGTGGAGACTCATTCCCCACCATGGCTTTACCTTTCCCAGGTCTGCGAGGCTGCTGAAAGGCATGATCACCTGGTTATCATCCTGTTTCTGGGCTTTTCCAAGAAATGAGCTCATTTGGGCTCTCAACTTTCTCTTCTAAATAACATTTCATCTTGGATAAGACCAAAGCCCAAAGCTTTAAAAAGTTACTCTGTCATTGTGTTTTAGGTTTGATAGCTGAGTTAATCTTTGGGAAATTAAAAAGCCAGGATAGAATAAAAATAGTATTCTGGGGAGGAAAATCCCTTTTAAATGTACATGTCTTAGTTCATTTTCTGCTGCTATAATAAAATAACTGAGACCAGGTAACTTATAAGGAGACTTTTTTTTTTTTTTTTTTTTTTTTTTTTTTTTTTT